CGTGCGTAGTGGGTGGTGGTGCGCGTGCGTGCGTTCGTGCGTGCGTGTGTGCGTGGTTGTGGTGGTGGTGGTGGTGGGGGGGGGGAGCAGGACCAGTTTCAGCCCAAGGCGCATCAACGTTGTTGCAATAAACCTTCCCTCCAGGTTCCCTCTTCATAGAGTCCTGTAAGATTTCTGCTTCACTGCGGGAAGTGCCCCGTTGGAAGACAGCCGTTACAGAATCCTCAATCGAGTGAGAAAGCAGTTCTTGGAATTTCATCGCCGCGAATCAACGCTGCTGTTGCGTCCTGGCATTCCTGAAGCGAACCAGAACGCAATTCCTGTAACATTCTCGCCGCGAATCAACGTGATTGTCGCGCCCTAGCAATCCCAAATTGCCCCAGAAAGCTCTTCCTGGGACGCTAAACATATTTTCGGGGGCGGACAGAACCCGCACCCTGACACGTCGATTAGTGAATTGTCCGCTTTCGGTTCTCGAGAGGGCGCCGCGGCTGTCATTTTCCTGGCTTGCGCCCGCCAGGTTTGGGCCCGAGGTCGTTTCACAAAACCACGTTTTACTAAAGGGGGTTCTTTCCATCCCCGATACTTTGGAATATTTGAAATTGCTGTGCATTTTGACGAGGAGAATGCGCGCCGTGCTAAGGCGAGTGCCACATCTTGAAAATGAACACATCCTTGAAGCTCTTGCAGAAGTCTAAGACGAGAAAGTGCGCGGCGCTCTGGCGAGAACCCCGTTTTGAAAACCACCCACCCTTCATCCACGAAATTGTTGCAAACGTTTCCTATGAATGCACGTGGCGCTGAGGCGAGAGCCGAGGTGTCAGATTCAGGGTCATTAGTGGTGAGGAAGTCTCAGTTGAAACGCCTGGCCCGCCCTACCGTCGCGCCTCGGGCGGAGTGCGACCAGGGGGGGGCATTCATGAAGAACAGGGATGGAGGGGGAGAAGCCTGGCACACCCGGAAGTCTGGCGCCTTGGCGGGAGATTTGAGGCGAGGCCAGGGCCAGGAGGAAGAAGGCGAAGTGAAAAGTATGAAAAGGAGGAGGAAGAGGAGGAGGAGGAGGAGGAGGAGGAGGAGAGTGATAATATCGGAGAAAATCAGGAGGAGGAGGAGGAGGAGGAGGAGGCGGAGGAGGAGGAGGAGGAGGAGGAAGGGTGCCGAGAAGCAGAGGAGGAGGGAGGAGGAGGAGGAGGAGGAGAGGCGGAGGAGCGAGGAGGTGCACGAGAACTTAGGAGGAGGTAGGAGGAGGAGGAGGAGGGGGAGGAGGAGGAGGAGGAGGAGGAGGAGGAGGAGGAGGAGGAGGAGGAGGAGAGAAGCAGAAAAGAAAGGAGGCAGTGGAGGAGTAAGAAGGGCGGTAGCTAGAAAGCCTGGCTGGCTGGGGTGGCCCACGGGGCAACGCTCGCACCCTCGGGCACGAGAGGGCGGGAGGCGGAAGGGAGTGAGGAGGGGGCGGGCGGGCGGAGGCACGGAGGGGAGGGGAGAGGAGGGGAGAAGCGAGCGGAGGGACGTGCGAGGAGGGCTCGAGGAGGAGGAGGGCTCGAGGAGGAGGAGGGCTCGAGGAGGGGGAGGAGGAGGAGGAAGAGGAGGAGGAGGAGGAGGAGGGCTCGAGGAGGAGGAGGGCTCGAGGATGAGGAGGGCTCGAGGAGGAGGAGGAGGAGGAGGAGGAGGAGGAGGAGAAGGAGGAGGGCTCGAGGAGGAGGAAGAGGAGGAGGAGGAGGGCTCGAGGAGGAGGAGGAGGAGGAGGAGGAGGAGGAGGAGGAACTCGAGGACTGCTCGTGCGGGCCCCTCCCTCCCCCCCAGTCAGCAGTCCCCCGAGGTGCAGCGGAGGGCCAGGGCGGCCATCGAGGAGTCGGACCGGCTCCTGGCCAGGGCCCGCGAGAAGAAAAGGTGCTCCTTGCGATCCGAGGGCCCCCGCCTCTCCTTCCCGACCTCCATCCCTCCTCTTCCACATTCCTCCTTCGTTCCCTCCCTCCCTCCCTCCTCCTGTCTCCTCCCCCTTCTCCTTCAGCGCGCACTTCCCTCTCCTTCAGCGCGCACTTCGAAGCGCGTCCCCCTGGCTGCCTCTTTCCCATTACAGGATGGGAGTAGGCAGCCCACAGTCGACAAGGATTCAGCGTTTCGCTCATATCTGCGTCCCACCACCTCCTCCCTGTGGCGCCGTCCAGGCTCTGAGCATCGGGGCTGGTCCTCATTCTCCTCCCCCCTCCTCGGCAGGAGGAAAGGCATGCATTCATCGAGGAGATCGAGGAGGATAGGAGGGAGAAGAGATGAGAAGAGAGTGGCGGATGCGATTGGTCCCTGTAGGCTCAGATGCCTGCTGCACCCAGGGGCACGGGCACCGACTGAAGGGTGCCAAGGGGTCGAGCCTCTCTGCGGCGCGCCCGTGGCGTCGCCGCCTTCAACCCGCGCCACCCACACCCGCCTCTCCGAGGTGCCTTCCTCGCTACCCGCTCCGCTGGCTTCCTCCTGCCTGCAGGGACAGGAGAGGAATGCGGTCGAGGAGGAAGAGTATTCAGGAGGAGGGTGGATGGTAGGTTGCTCGTCGAAACCGCGTTTCAGCCAGGGGCCTTCACGAACTCGGCGCCGGGTTGCGCCATCTGTATCGGACTCCAGTATCGGGACCTAGATGTTCGCAGCACCGTGGACGTCCAGCACTCCCCCCCAGCCTTCCAAGCGAGGCCGGGCTGGCTCATATGATTCGGGCTGTCCAGGCGTGGGCGCGCTGGCGGCGCAGTTTGCTTCGGGAGCCCGCGTCTCCACACCTCCCGTCTTTCAGGCGATCGCAAACATGGATCGAGGGGGCGTGGATTAGCGACGGGTCCCGTTTCAACGGGAGATCGCGGATATCCGCCGCTCAACGAGGCGTCGCTGGTGAGGGCACCTCCCCCGATTCATGGAATTAGCGACCGCGCGCCAAATCCATGGATCGCTGATCCACGCTTGCGCGCCCCCGATCCCTGCTCCCGGCGCCCCTTCCCTGTCTCCCCCCCCCCCGCCGCCCGTGACTCCGGCGGCCGCCCGACGCCCGCCCAGACACAGTCTACCGCGGCCACAATTCCAGAGTCCGCGCTGGGCGCGCTGGAGGGCAGCGCCCGGAGGCCGCCCTGCCGTCGTCGGGAGGGGCATGGGGAGGAGATAGGAGGAGGAGGAGGAGGAGGAGGAGGAGGAGGAGGAGATAGGAGGAGGAGGAAGAAGAGGAGGAGGAGGAGGAGCAGGAGGAGGAGGAGGAGGAATAAGATGTTTGGAAATACGGTCGGACCGAGGGGTAAGATCGAGGTCGGTTCGGGGGCGGTGCCTTAGATATTCATCGTGCCCGTTGGATGTCTTTGCGCATCCTGGGGAGGGCACCCTTGGATGTCCTGGGCGTTTTGGCGACACGGAAAGGCCTCCAGGGCCTGCACTTCCAGGCCGTCATATATGAGACCAAGCTCCTGCATCGCAGGGAACACAGCGGCACTCCGCCCCCTCGGAGGGAGACCGTTGTGCCGTTCAGCCTTCACCGCCGTGAGGTACAGATGAACACAGTTAACCCGCACAGTAAGGATGGGCAACCTTCCCAAGGGGTACCCTTGCACCTTTGCCACATCGGTCCATCTTCGGCCACTTTTGCTGGCCGCGCCCCCCGCGAAAAACTTCGACATGGGCTTCCAAGGCCCTTGTATCCGAAAGAGCGTGTTCTACCGCTGCTGCTGGAAAACCAGGGGGGGGTCACTGGGGGTTCCCAACCCGTCCCCCCCCCCTCAAAAACTGGGGGGGGGTCACTACCTGTTCGAACCCCTCCCCCCCCAGTCCATCATGAAAAGGGGAGGGTCACTACCGGTTCGAACCCCCCCCCCTCGAAAACCAGGGGGGGTCACCACCGGTTCGAACCCCCCCCCCCTCCCCGCCGCCAGCAAACGATTCCCGCTCCTCGGGACAATTGGACGATGGTGGGGATACTGGGACAGTGGTGGGAACGGTGGTGGTGGGGACAGTGGTGCGGGGACAGTGGGACAGCGGTGCGGACAGTGGTGGGGACGGTGGTGGTGGGCACAGTGGTGAGGGGACAGCGGGACAGTGGTGGGGACACTGGCGGGGGCACTGGCGGGGACAGCGGGGACAATGGCGGGAACAGTGGGGACAGTGGGACAGTGGTGGGGACGGTGGTGGTGGGGACAGTGGTATGAGGACAGTGGGAATGTGGTGGGGACAGTGGGACAGTGGTGTGGACAGTGGTGGCGGTGAGTGTGGGAGGGGGGGGGGGAAGGGTTCGAACCGGTAGTGATCCCCCTCCGGTTTTCTGGAGGGGGGGGGGAGGTTCGAGCCGGTAGTGACCCCCCCCAGGGGGAGGGGTTCGAACCAGTAGTGACCCCTCCCGGTTTTCCGGAGAGGGGGGGGGCTCGAACTGGTAGTGACCCCCCCCGGTTTTCCGGAGGGGGGGTGGGGGTTTGCCGGGGGGAGGGGGGGGGGGTTTACCGGGGGAAGGGGAGGGCGGGGGGGTCTAGCAGGGGAGAGGGGGGGAACCCCGGGTTCCGGAGGAAGAGGGGGGAATTTTCCACAGTAAAGCGGCGGTGGATCACGCTCTCTCTTGTATCTTTATTGCGCGACCTCATGATACGGGTTGATTGTAGGCGTTGGCTCGCATTTCATACCTGGCTGCTCCAGCTTGGCCCTCGAGAGCGGGGTCTTAGCCGAGCAGTGGCACAGCGTACACCGAACTCCCCGCTCACCCCCATCTCCAGATCGTGCGCGAGAAGACAGGGCAAGCACCGTCGAGGGGTTCCGACGACTGATTGCGGGTATGGATGTTGGAGGGCCAAGCCGACCTGCTTCTAGAAGGTCAGCATCTGGGGCCGATGCCAAGTACCGCTTTTAGGTCCTAGTCAAAAGTGTCTATGGACACTTCGGGTGCCGTGATGTCCATAAACACTTTCGGGGTGGATACGTCTATGGATAACGTGGCCGTTGCATTCGGCGCGGCGCAAGGTCGGAGAAATGGTAGATCCGTATACGGTATGTTCCGGTTCTAGAGCAGGTCCCACATGGTACTCCAATATGGATGGCGGCTCAGCCTGGATGGCAACGCATTGGGCCACCCTGGAAATAACATCGGAGCGTTCTTCCCATCGCGCAGGTGCGCTCTCAGCGTCGCGACAGCAAGCTGAGCTACTGAGTGCTGTAAAGCTCCGAGTTTGGCAAACTAGTCGGCCCAGGCGTTGCCCAGGTAGTCGAACAGTCGAGTCGATTCGGACCGATCCTGGCTAGATCAAGCACCCCCGAACAGAACATGATGGAGTCGAGGTCTTCATGCGCGAGAGTCCATCCCACGATCGACCTCTCAGCCTTGGGGGTACCAGCTGGGTAGCGCCTGAAAATCTCACGCCAGATGCTAGCATGCGTGCCACGTCTCATGGCCATTTCGCCGCTCTGGGACTGAAACTGCAGAGGGATGGTCGCTGACCATTCCTGCTCCTGTGAGACACATGCGAAGGGCCTGCTGAATGGCGAATCGATCAGCCCTCGGAACGGTTTGAGAGGCTCCCGCCAGGGGCCCGCGCTTGGCCTTGATGGGCCAGCCTCTTGGAGAAAGCTCCACCACCGCCCACCCGCAGCGAGTCGCTTCGGGCAGGCCGCTGGCCAAACCAGAGCCGCCCGTAAAAACCTTGAAGCCCCACGGCAGGTTGACGGTTCCCTCAAACATGGGCCACATTTGGTTAGGATCGGCTCAAGCTTGAAGGGGAGTTGGGCGGGAGGAGGAGCAGGATGGAGGAGGGGGAGGAGGAGGAGGAGGAGGAGGAGGAGGAGGAGGAGGAGGAGGAGGAGGAGGAGGAGGAGGAAGAGGAAGGAGGAGGAGGAGGAGGAGGAGGAGGAGGAGGAGGAGGAGGAGGAGGAGGAGAAGGACGACGGAGGAGGAGGAGGAGGAGGAGGAGGGCTCGAGGAGGAGGAGGGAGGAGGAGGTGGAGGAGGAGGAGGAGGAAAGAGAAAGAGAAAGAGAAGAGAAAGAGAAAAGATAACGAGAGAGAGAGAGAGAGAGAAAAGCGATCGAGAGGAGGAGGAGAGGAGGAGGAGGAGGAGAGGAGGAGGAGGAGGAGAGGAGGAGGAGGAGGAGGAGGAGGAGGAGGGGGAGGGGATGGGACGGAGGAGGGGGACGGGGAGGAGGAGGGGGAGGGGGAGGAGGAGAAGGAGGAGGAGGAGAGGAGGAGGAGGAGCGGAGGCGGAGGCGGAGGCGGGAGTCGCGGAGGCGGAGGTGGAGGCAGAGGGGGAGGCGGAGAGGAGGAGGTGGAGGAGAGAGAAGAGAGAGAGAGAGTAGAGAGAGAAGAGAGAGGAGAGGGCGGAGGAGGAGGGCGGAGGAGGAGGAGGAGGAGGAGGAGGAGGAGGCGGAGGCGGAGGAGGAGGAGGAGGAGGAGGAGGAGGAGGAGGAGGAGGAGGAGGAGGAGGAGGCGGAGGCGGAAGCGGAGGCGGAGGCGGAGGCGGAGGTGGAGGCAGAGGGGGAGGCGGAGGAGGAGGTGGAGGAGGAGAAGAACAATAATATGTAAGAAGAATAAGCAGAAGAAGAAGTGGAGGAGGAGGAGGAGGAGGAGGAGGAGGGTGGAAGGTGGAAGGTGGAAGAGGAGGAGGAGGAGGAGAAGGAGGAGGAGGCGGAGGAGGAGGAGGCGGAGGAGGAGAAGGGGAGGAGGAGGAGAAGGAGCAGGAGGAGGAGGAGGGGTGCTGGTTAGAGGGGGAGGATGGGATGGGAGGACGAGGTGTTGAGGGATTTTGTCGTGCTTCTCCAGTGAACGCCCATGGTGGCCCATTTGGGCTTGATCTTGCTTTGGCAAAGTAGTGCAGGAACTCCCACTGATTTGCCTCGCCCGCACGCGCGTCATTCACGGCACAAACCTACATGGAAACCTGATTCCCGGTTGGGGGCGTCCGTCTCATTTCGGTCTCACCCTTCCAACCTCCAATCCGGCGTCTTGCCCCTCTCACCCATATGTATTTTCTCGTTTCCCGTTGCATTGGATTATGTTCCATCCGCCAGCTGGAGTGTGACTTTGACCCCCAAGATGACCCCGTCGTGCGATGCGCAATCAGAAAGGGAGGCTGTGTATATCGGACGAGGAGGTGGCGGACGAGCAGGAGGAACAGCATGATGATGACGAAGCCGACGCCTACGACGACGACGACGACGACGACGAGGGACGACGACGACGACGATAGCGATGATGATGATGATGATGATGATGATGATGATGATGATGATGATGATGATCATGATCATGATCATGATCATGATCATGATGATGATGATGGTGATGATGATGATGATTATGACGCTGGTGCTGATGATGATGATTATTAGTATGCTGATGATGGTGATGATGATGGTGATGGTGATGGTGATGGTGATGGTGATGGTGATGATGCTGCTGACGATGATGAGGATGATGATGTTGGTGATGAGATTGAAAGGGGTGCTGATGATGATGATGCTGGTGATGATGGTACTGATGTTGGCGATGATGCTGGTGTTGATATTGTTGCTGCTGCCGATTACGACGATGATGATGATGGTGATGAGGGGAAAGAAGAAGATGATGATACTGATGGTGATGCTGATGCTGATGCTGATGTTGCTGCTGATGATGATGCTGATGATGATGATGATGATGATGATGACAGTGATGGTGGTGGTGGTGGTAGTGGTGATGGTGGTGATGATGATGATATTGTTGATGATGATGATGATGATGATGATGATGATGCTGATGATGATGCTGCTGATGATGATGATGACGATGGTGATGGGAGAGGAGCAGGGGCAGGAGCATGAGGAGCAAGGGGACTGGGCGAACGCGGAGGATGTAAAAAGATGTGGACGACATCGACGAGTAATGAATCGGATTCGGAAATGTGGCCCGTGCTGTGACGAGAGCGCAAATCTGAACGGTGCGCCGAACATGCAATTAGGCCAACGCTGCAGCAGGAACACCATCATGGAATGACCAAAAACGGTCCGATGGAAAAAAAAACACGCATATGACAACACGTGTTTGCAACATGAGTGGAGCACACAGACAACACACATTGCAGTTGTGTGTGCGTGTGCAAAAGCCATAAGCGGGCGGCTGAGGGGGTG